ATGTGGGAAGATTTGCATAACGCCGCCCAAATGTTCACGCAAAGAAAGAAGGCGTAATTTTTATTCTCGCTGTAGTATTGTTGCCGCCGCCGCCATGTCGTGAAGACGCTGTGTGCTTCATTGTGAAAGCGAAACTACTTTGTTTGATCTTCCAAAAGAGGACACGACTAGAAATCAGTGGGTAAGTTGTATTTACAACACTGTTCCAGAACAGTTCAACCCAAATATTCAGATGTGTGCAGCGCATTTTATGGAGAACGAGGACTGTTTCCTGGGAGAGTAGCCTACAATGCCGGCGTTCTGACAAATAATGCTGACTCACATCCTGTAAATACGTTTTCATATTTAAAGGATTTGCCACTGATGATTCAAATGTGAGTTTTGAGCAGTGTAGAGTAGGGCTTGTTGTTTGTCGTTTCTCCGATCACAAATGCAGACATGGTTTTATGTTTACACGGCGCGATGCAACGCGTAAAAAGACAGTGCAAGTCATTATAATCTGTAATTATGTCCCCACTGGATGCAACAAATGCCTCATTTATACTGGGTTTTAATGTTTTTGTCTCGTCGCTCCGGCCGGACAGGGCATCACAATATGGTAAGGGGCATAACGTTTCCGTCACATGCTTGAGGTATTCGGCCAATCACAACGCACTGGATAGCTGGCCAATCAGAGTACACCTCGCTTTTCAGACCGATGAGCTTTGTAAAAATCGACGCATTTCAGAAAGGCGGGGCATAGAGGAGAAACAATAATGTACAGTATGCGGAAAATAATGTGTTTTTTAAACTTTAAACCGCATAAACACATTTCATTACACACAAATACACGTTCTTTTTTTAGCAACATCATATGACACCTTTAAATAAATATAAATATAAACATAAAAAATATAAATATAAAATAATGTATAATGTTTAAGTATTTATCTGCATTATGATTGAAAATAAAACATCATTAATAAAATATTGTAATAAGTTAATTAGTTAAATAAAACTAGCAGAGAAGAACACATTTTAACAGTGAAAAAATGACACTTGATTTTTAAGAAGTATGCACAACAGAAGTATGCAAATGGGAATGCAGCCATCATTTATTTAAATGTTCTGCTTAATTTCCTATATAGTATCAGACATTCTGACAGGCATAATTATAATGAGCGGATTGATACCCGGAGCGATTCCTTCACATGTATATGGATGCACTGCTCATTTTCTTGCACGCTAAAAGCTCGCACATGCTTTGAAATGCACTTTACACCTGCCACTCCAAAGGTTAAAGTACATCCTCCTGGCTTCACTGCTGGACGCTGTGTTTAGCCACAGGCCTGTGCTAAGAGCTCTGATGAAAAGCTGAGATGTTGTGATATGGACCTGCATTGATGGACCACAACAAGCAGCAGCTTCCTACCCTAAAATCAATCAACTTGTAGAAAAAAGATCAGTCTGTACTTAAAAGCTACTTATTGGGTTAGAGCTCAGACAGAGAGAGAAAAGAGAGCGTGTGATGGTGCCTTATGGATTTTTCCCTTCTTTCTGCAATATGATCCGTGGAAATTCTTGGAAAGAGAAGGAGAAAGAGGATCACGTACAGTAGAGTGACTGACATTCAAAGACCTGAATAAACTTGCTCCTCAACCTCAGTCATCAGAAAATACAGAGGCGTTCACACTGACAGAGTGTGACAAGAGACTGCTGATCTGAGATGACAGAGTTTGCTGATGTGACAATGTTTCATAAGACATATTTACATATTTACTTGTTTATTTAAAGTTAATTTTCTATGTTGCATTTGATTATTTCAAATAAAACAACATTGGAAAGTATGTATTTACTTTATTTATTTAACTTGATTTATTTATCCAAGTTGCATTTGATCAGTCTAATTGAAATATCTGAAATGTATTCATTTACTTACTTGATTTATTTATCCTTTATTTATTTTTCATTCTGTCTGAAGGAGAATTTTTTAATTAGTTAAGTTGCATTTGATTATTCCAATTAAAACAATATCTGAAAAAATTGTTATTTACTTATTTACATACTGTACTTACTGTACATATGTACTTGATTTATTTGTCCTTTATTCTTTTTTCTGTCTGAAAGAGGAAATTTGCAAAGTTGCATCTGATTATTCAGTAAACAACAGCTAGCCTAAAACACCTAAAAATTAAATAATAATAATAATTATTATTGTTGTTGTTGATGTTAATGAATTATTATATTATACAACTTTTATAATCTAATCTATTTTAATCTAACTGGCTTTGAATTGAGACTCGCTTCAAGATTCCCCACTGCTCCACTGAAACATTATTAATCAATTGTAGTTTTTCCACGAGTTTTAACCTGCTAAAAATCCACAGTTCTCTGATGACATATCAGTGTTCAAGCATGAAGCTGTAAGTTAAGCATGTGTTGTGTGTACCTGCAGTGAATGAAGTCCGGTACGGGGTTGTAAACGCTGAACGATGCCGCGTCCAGGTCTCGGCAGATCTCTACGTTATCTCCCGCCATCAGACGAACGGCCGCTTTGTTTTCTTCTTCAAACACCTGCCTCTGCAGCGACGCACACAGCAGCAGCATGAAATCATCTACATCAGACAAACAGAGGAGCAGAGGAAACCAATTTAAGTGACAACATAGTCACCATAGGGCTGATGGTATTTTTGCATGTCCACTGACCACTAATGGCAGTCACTCACCGTCTGATAAATACAGAGCACAAATAAATGATTGGATGGCATCACACAATTCATAAAAAGACTATAAAAAATAAAATAAAATAAAATGCTTTAAATTTAATTAATAACTCCTATATCCTATATCCTATATCCTGTGTTGACTGCTACAGTGCAAGGTGTTTTCTGCATATGTCTAAAATAAAATAGAACTAAAATAAAACAATGTAAAACTTAAGAAAATATTGTGATCATTTAAAGGGGTCATATGATGTTGCTAAAAAGAACATTATTTTGTGTATTTGGTGTAATGAAATGTGTTTATGCGGTTTAAGGTTAAAAAAACACATTATTTTCCACATACTGTACATTTTTGTTTCTCCTCTATGCCCCGCCTTTCTGAAACGCGTCGATTTTTACAAAGCTCATCGGTCTGAAAAGCGAGGTTTGCTCTGATTGGCCAGCTATCCAGTGCGTTGTGATTGGCCGAATACCTCAAGCGTGTGACGGAAATGTTACGCCCCTTACCATATTGTGATGCCGTGTCCGGCAGGAGCCCCAGTGGGGACATAATTACTGATTGACTTATACTGTACTTTTTACGTTTTATCGTGCCGCGTAAACATAAAACCATGTCTGCATTTGTGATCGGAGAAATGACAAACAACAAGCCCTACTCTACACTGCCTAAAACTCGCGGTTGAATCATCAGTGGCAAATTCTTTAAATATGAAAACATATTTACAGTCTGTGAGTCAGAACAGCCGGCATTGTAGTCTACTCTACCAGGATCAGGAAACAGTCCTCCATAAAATGTGCTGCACACATCTGAATATTTGGGTTGAACT